GATTTTAAAAGTACCTGTCATCAAGTTAAAATAAAACAATCCAACAAAAAGTACACCGCTTTCGATGGCAATGGTCAAATTTATCAGCTTACTAGGATTCCTTTTGGATTAACCAATGAGATCCCTGCCTTTTAACGATCAATGAACAAGATCATAAAAGAAAATCTTAAAGGTACTCTACCTTATCTTGATAATACTATTATTGGCGTTGAAACTGAAAGAGAGCAGAAGAATGTCGAATATCTGAAAGTCGTAGAGAAAAATAATTGCTGCCAAAACTATTCCGAAGGTAACATTGAATACTTTAGGATATTGTGTAAGAAATAACATCATTAAACCTGACCCAGAAAGGATAAAGCCATTACAAGAAATGCCCCCCCCCAAAAAAAAGATGAGAACACTTAGGGGTCAGGAGATTGTTTGCGTATTACGCAAAATGGATACCTGAATTTTCAGTTAGTCGATCGGTTCCCACTGAATAAACGAGCTCTCCGCACTTTTGAATCTCTAAAATCCGAGCTATATAAAGCAACTCTGTCGGCTCTTGAAGAATATGATGCTTCGGATAATGCTATATCTATACACTTAATCAGAATGGGAGGCATGTCGCATTTATGTCAAAAACATTCCAAGGCAGCAAAAACTGGTATAATGTAGTCGAAAAAGAAGCTTTGGCAATTATCACTGCAATGCGTAAATGGATGTATCTTTTGTCGCAATGCCGTTTCAAGTTATATACCGATGCTAGGTCAGTGTCGTATATGTACGATAATCGAAGGCTTACAAAAGTATTAAAAAAATGCCCAAATCAGCGAAGCTTGGGGAACTAAGTTTAGATATCAAATATCGACCTGATAAGAGTAACGTCACTACGGATATTTTTAGTCGTGTCTATTGTGTGACTGGAAATTCTCAAGGTTCTACTCTTGAGGGTTTACTCAAGGAATTATGCTATCCAGGGTTATCAAGACTTCTGCATTTTGTAAGATCAAGAAATCTCACCTTTTCTACCGAATACGTTAAAAAAATATGCACTTCGTGCAGATTTTGTGCTGAGTTAAAACCTCGGTTCTATCGACCTCCCGAAGGTACGCTGATAAAAGCTACTGGACCTATGGAATGTATTGGTATTGATTTTTTTTTTTTAAGGGACCTATCCTACGGCTACTCATGGGAGCTCATTCCCATCTTGGTTAATGAGACCTCGACCAGTACTTTTAAGACGAATTGCCCGTACTAGCAAGAGCCGAACCATTAGTAGGTAAAGTTAAAGTAATTGTTAGCAATCTGACTTTTGCCAACATAAAGTATACTGACAGAAGACAATCGACTGTATCTGTCCAAGATTTGGCTCCCTGCTCTGTTCAGTCAGAACTCTTCTCACATCGGCAAACTTCACGAATCTCAAATAGTTTCTCCATAGAAGAAAGTAGTAGACCGACAACTGCACCGTCGTCACTTCCTCTACATGAATCATCGACCGAAAGTGAGTTTTCAAACAGAAAGCCAATATCCAAGAGTGACGACAGCTAATACGGACTGACCTCTGAAATCCAACCGTATATCAAAGATATTCGGGGTTGGTCCGTATTAGCTGTCGGTTAAGGTTAATAGTGTTTATTATAAACAGAGCATTTGTATCTATAAAAAAGAAAATATATTAAAATAATTGTCCATTTCATATATATATATATATATATATATATATATATATATATATATATATATATATGTAACGATACAAACAACATTTATTTTGTTCAGAGAATATATTTTATTATTATTATTATTATTATTATTATTATTATTATTAGTTAATGATGACAGAACACTTTTCATTAAACCTTTACCGGCCTGAAAGTCCGAGAAATTTCATAGAAAATATATGTCCTCCGTAGAAAAATGGTATCATACGTCAGGCTGGCTATTCCATCTAAGACACAGGTTCGATTCCTGCCTGGTTACTTTTCGGGAAATGTTTATTTTGATAAACATTTCCCTAAAAGTAACCCGCTTAGTAAAATATCTAACAGGAACACATATGTCATAGCTGCATCAATAATCTTAACATTATAAAGTTATACAATAATAAAATTTTAAACGAATTTAATAATCTGGATCATAATGCACATTCCAAAATAAATATTATTAATGATACTAGTCAATGTAATTGTAGGAATTCAGACCCATGCCCATTGCCAAACAAATGTTTAATTAAATCTCTTGTTTACCTTAGTACTATCTCTACAATAGAGAATCCGACGGTTGAAAAATTGTATATTTGTAGTACTAAGAATTCTTTTAAGATTAGGTGGTTTCAATATATTTTGTCCTTCGTCAATAATACTTATAGAAATAATACCGCGCTTTCTAAATATTTTTGGAGTTTAAAAGATAACAAAACTTAAGATGAAATGGAAAATTTTAAAAATGGCAAGGACATGTAGATCCTTATACGAACCATGTTTTCTGTATTTACATAAAAAAATTTAGAAATTATCATATTCCTTAATAAAAAAAAATCCTTATTAAATCAAAGATCCGAATTAACGGTAAATTGTAAACACAGTTTACCTCTTAATTTAGTTAAACTTTGGATTTTGACAATGTTTTTTCATAGATTTTAGTTTAACTGTGCTGCACCATATATTGCTTCTTTCTATTTGTAAGATTAATTTGAGTTTAATTTATTTCTGTATTTATCACCTGGTAGTTTCCTTAGCATCTTATTCGGATGCATTGGTATTTAGTTAGTATTTTTAACATTTTACATTGATTGGTTGGTATTATTAACATCTTGTATAGATGATATTTATTTAATGGTTACATATTATTTAACAAATAATTCTAAATGTTTAGATTATTTACTAGTTACTTAAAGAGGCCTCTTATTTATCAACTACAAAAAATATTTTTATGTAGGAAACCCATAAAGCATATAACTAGATGGGCATTCGGTTAAATTACCTCTCTAACTCCGCTTTTATTTCTTATGAAAGTTGACTGTCTGACATATGTACATTTTATGCAACCATCTGTCTCAGTTTTTAAGTTAATGTCTGGCTGTTGTTAGATGCCAACTCCTGGTCATGACACATAAGAATGATATTTTTTTTTCGCTTAGCTTGAATTTACTGTAGGTCGTATTCGATAGGTTGATCAGGGTAAAGCTTTCAAGCCTTATATTTTTCCCCTAAAAATAAAAAAGGGGATGTATTTTACTTTTTGAAACCAAATTAATCGTTCACCCGCCAGTAATTTACAATCGCCTGAGGAGATGCATTGTTAGTCGTTGAAACACGACTGCAATTGTGTAGCGATTCTTACATGTTTTTGTTCTAATATCCTAAAATTATATATATATATATATATATATATATATGACTCCACTCCACCTCAAGCACATCTTGTGGTACAAAATGGTTCAGGTATATACTCATCACCTAAAATAATAAGCCAGGTTCCCAGTACAGCATTTAAAATGAATGCAGATGAAGAAGATATATATATATATATATATATATATATATATATATATATATATATATATATATATATATTATTAAAAAGTCGTCCTTATTTTCTAGGAGGGAAAATGTAAACGAGTGATTCTAGAGTTTGTACTTGAGGCTTGGATTCACTTCAAGTCTCTATTCAGTTACTAAGTCTTACGACAATACGCATTAACAGACTTTAAATGGTATGATGAAAGTTATTTTAGAGAGTACATAATCTTTCACAATTTTATTAAAGTACGCTTGTATATCGACATGAGAATCGACGTGCAGGGTTCAGATCCCAACCGAATTCGTTGCGTTTAGTTCCACATACATACTCTTGGGAAATGACATGAGACCCCCCCTCCACCCGCCAAACAAAAAACAAAAATCTTTTTATGTAGGTCAGACTGGAATTTCTATCCTTTGTTGCTAACCAGTCTAGAAGAAGGAAATCTCAGAATTTAAAACTAGTTGGGTGTGTGGCTAGAAACTCCACCCTGTAAAAACCCTACTTGCCTTATACAGAGCCCACGGCAGCAACACTTAACGTGTTGAGATTATGTTCCTATACAACACAGGGTAATTGGGCGCCTCGGCGTGGTGTAATGGTTAGCAAGCTGGTCTTGTTACAACTGAATAGTGAGTTCTATCCTCACTGGGTGCCCCATACTTTCGGCCATATGCCACATCTAGGCCTCGCTTAGAAAATAAGGGTCACCTCGGCGTGGTGTAATGGTTAGCAAGCTTGTCTTGCTAGATCAGTTACGACTGAAAAGTGAGTTTGATCCTCACTGAATGCCCCATACTTTCGGCCTTGTGCCACATCTAAGCTACGCTTGGAAAATCTTTACAACACAGGGGAATCTAATGGCACTGAGAAGCAGGATACTTATATAAATACAGTTTGTTGCGAAGCCTGATTAACTCAGATATTCTCTAGTCTCTATTTTTTTTATCTCGCGTTGTCCTAAATTGAAAGTTCTTCTGTACTCCAAAATCAACATGAGGATATCTCTGAAGCAAAGATGAACATTTCCGTCGACAATAACTAGGATGTCCGTTCTTTAACTTGGCAGGACCGGAAAAAGGGACACCTTTGGACAGCTTAATTACTGATGAACATTCTAGATCGGTCGGCGAGAATTTACTTTTTCCTTCTCTTCCACAGTCTTTCCAGAGGCCCAGTAAAATGTCAAAAGCATTTAATGACGATCTCATTAATCTCAATAACATTCTTCATTTTTCTTTTCATCTTCTTCGTCCTTCCTATCATTCCCCGCCCCAACACTTTTAATGCCGTCTCCTTTTTAGCCCGGTAACCTTTCTTGTTGTTCTTCTTCTTGCTTTCACTGGTTACCTCTCCTCCACCTCTTCTACTACTACCACCACCATCTTATTTTTCTTTTCTCCCGGTACTGCTTTTCTCTCATTACTACATTTCTTCTTCCTTTTCTTCATCCTCTTCCTCATTCTCCTCATTTTTCTTTTTGCTTTCACTAGGTACGCACTCCTCCTCCCCTTTATTTTTCTTTTCGCCCGGTATCCACTCTCTCCTTCTTGTTTTCACCAGTACAGCCATTCTTCTCTTCATTTTCGTCCTGTATCCAATTTCTTCTTCCTTTTATTCATCCTCCTCCTCCTCCTCCTCCTCCTCCTCCTCCTCTTCCTCATTCTTCATCTTCTTTTTTCGACTGGTACCCCCTTTCTTCCCCACCTTCTTCATGCTTTAGCCTGATCCGCCTTTCGTTTTTTTCTTCTTCTTTACAGTATGGCTGTAATTATGATACGAAATACTGAATTACAAGCTGTCTAATTAGTAGGAAGCTTCTCTTATTTTTCTGTTTTCTTCTTCATCCTCAAATTTCTTACTTCCATTCTTTCTTATTCGTAAAATCCTAATCACATAATCTCTTCCTGATATCTTGATCCTGCTACTTTCATAATTCCCCGTTGAAATTTGGTCGGAGTTACGGATAGGCTACTTATGATATTTTTCTCTCTTGTTTTCAGAACATGGCGAAGAATGCAATAACTATCAAGTGGCAAGATTCAACGTGAGGTAATGATTAGCGAGCCAGTCTCGGCGATCGTTATATAACTGCAGTAGCGTGTTCATTCCTCATTGGGTATCGCTCTACATCTGATCTTATGCTAAAACAAAAATGAACTTTGCAAATGACAATAATCGAACGACACCATGGTATAAAAAAAGACAAAAAAAACCCAAAAAACAAAAAAACGCCTATTTTTTTTTTAAATTATTGAAAAATCAAATGTAAGAAACAATGAAGATATAGTGGAGAAGTTTATTTTATTTGTTTTTTTTTTTTTTGTTTTTTGTTTTTTTTAAGCATTCCACCCCAAGCAATGCGAGAAACCACTAGGACGCAAGGGGTTACAGAAGATTTGGAGCAAGATCAGATAGGAGTGATAGAGGAAAGGATGAGGGGAAGGATAGTGGATAGATCAAGGCAACTGGAGATGTCGATTGACATTACATTTGAATAGTTGGAGATTATAGCTCTCAGGGAAACTGGAATAGGGAAGGGAGTTCCACAGGCGAGAGGTGCGAGACATGAAGCTATTGGAGTAGAAGAGACGGCTACATTTAGGAGTTTCGACAGTGAAAGGGTGAGAGCGGGATGCCAGCCTCGTCGGGCGCTTGAATTCATGAAGTCTGGGAACCATCGAATGCAGCTCCTCGGAGCAATTGCCATGAAACTATTTGTAAAAAAGACAGAGAGAGGCGACGGCGCGTCTGTGAGAGAGTGGCTGCAGACGAGATGCCAGAACGCTGGAGCCTATCAAGAACCCCGAGGCAAACAGAAGGGGCTCCAGACCATATATGGCAGCAATACTCCATGCAAGGGCGAATTGTTGATTTGTAGATCTGGAGAATCGATTCCGGGGAGAAATATTTCCTGGCGCGGCATTTTACGGCTTATCACCCTCTATGGGTTATTTAATGCTGACAAAATTTTTAGGATAGATTCGTATGAATAGATTATGGATTCTTTGTAAGAAATCAGTTTGTAGATTAGGTTTCATTGACGTATTTTTGTAAAGAGGATTTTTTTTTTGTCGAAAGTCAAATGTATTGCTGATAATTTTTTTTTTTTTCCAAAAATGTATTGGTCGTATCTTTTTTAATGTATTGCTGGCATTTTTATTAGAAAAATCTATTTTTATACTTCCATAGTGTTTTGACACCAGTTTTGGGGCTAACTATTTGCCCATAGCTGGGACCCTAACAGGTGCTACCACCCCGGGTGAGAGTGGACCTGGGAACAACAGCAATTAACAGGCGGTTCCACGCCGCTCAAAACCTCCTGATCAGAGGCCTTGCCACCGGGCGTAGTTTATCTTCATACCCAAGACGACTGGAGTGGAGAAGAAGACAAAGTGATAATGCAAGAAAAATGGTTTAATGATAAATCGATATTTGTATCAAAGAATTGTTAGTAGTGTCTGAAAGAGTTAAATTGAACCTTGCGAGAATAAGAACATTAATAGTGGCTAACTTATATATATATATATATATATATATATATATATATATATATATATATATATACAAAACGCACGCGCGCGCACACACACACATGCACAAACAAAAAACACACATTCAATTTTACTATTACTGTGCTAATATCAAACTTTCCACCTCACAAAGAAAATGTTTGTTGTTCACGTAATCTTTGATGCAAGAGAGATTTGTCTCTTGAAATCAATTTTATTTAAATGAAAACTTTGTTTTTCTATTAGAGATTCTTGACACAATCCAAAGAAGAATCTGCAATGTTATTGATCTTGACCTGGCAACTTGGCTTCAGTCAGTTTCCCACCATCTATCTGTGCCTTTTCTATAAATACTTTCATGGTAATTGTTCTGGTGAATTTTTCTTATGAGGGTTTCATTTTTAAATGTTGTTTTTTTATCCACCCACCCCTGCCAGACAACTTGTAAATATAGTAACTAGTTAGGACTACATAGAGACTTGAGGTATGATGGTGACTGTAGTAAGAATAGTAAGTAATAATGTGTTGTTTTGGTGTAAAAAATACTGTGATATGTCAGTAATCGTGTCTAGCTAAGTTTTAAGGTAAGGGCGCCTTCCCCTATCCCCCTTTTGGCCATACTTTTGTATTATTCAAAATAAATAATTACTTTCCTCTATGGTACCTAGACTTTATGAATTTAAGCGTAGTACTAGATTGGCGGCAAGGCCTCATCAGTTTACTACTAAAATAGCTAGATGTTACCGTAAGTTCTATGGTAACAGTTTCTTCTATCCCACTTCTCACCTGTTGAACTCTTCTGCCTTCTTGATTCCCAGTCAACTTTGTCAGAAATTTAAATGCAATGTCAGTCATTATCTTCCATCTTCTTAATTCTTATTGTTTTATTGTCCTCTCTCCTTAATAGTATTTTTCTCATATTCTCTAACACTCGGTAACCTCTTGCGCCCTAGTAGCTTCCTTGGAATGAAATGATTAATAATAATAGAAAAAAAAAACTTTTAATTAAGAGAAAACACGCATTTCCGTTTCTTTGAAATCCATTCTCCCATTGCAAAAAAAAAAAAAAAGAAAAATAATTCCCATGTTTATTCAAGGACTTGGCAAAATAACTGCCGTTGTGTGTCTACAATTTTAAATTACAAGACGCGCCATTAATTATTCTTTATAGCGTTTGGCCGTCTTACGCAGTTTGGCTAGATTTGTAGTTTTCTGCTGTAATGGAGTCTTCGTGTCACAAAATACTTTTATTTAAGGTTTGATGAAAGAGGAAAATGAGAGATTTTCTTACACTCTGAATTTTTTTATGAGTGTTATATTTTTACCATAAAAGAATTTTTACTGTGCTTTATCGGGAATTCGAACATAATTATTTTGTTACATTTTTACGACGTGAAATCTCTGATTTTAAAAGGGAGATATAAATTTACTAATTCTAAAGCTTATTTCCACAATATCAGGCATTTTGCTATTAAGCCGTATTTTTTTTAAATATATGACGTAGATGATCATGGTTCTTCACAGATACCTTTTTCTTTATAATCTGGGAAATACCATAACTTCTATGAAAGTTAGTGGAATGCTTTCTCCATAATTTTGCATTCAGATTTTTCCTACTCTTAGATTGACTACCACCCAAGATTAGAGAGCCCAGTCTATCCAGTTATTTAACCCATAGTTAGTGGAGAGTGAGAAGAGACGGATTCATGTCTTTGTGAAGGGCATTATGCGAAACTGAATGAAATAGTCCGGAATTTGAACTTTCTGCACTGTTGCAGTCAGCCACATTTTTCTTCTATGTGCTGTGTCCCTTCAAGGCGTTAGCGCTCATGGCTCTTCACAATTTCCTGTCCTTTTTAGCACTTAGTAAATTTTGTCATTTTGCTATCTCTCTTAATCCCTGTTTTGCCAACCACTACACAAGTTCGTTAGGTAGTTCGACCAGCAGTTTTCTATTGTCCATATTGCCTTCAATCTGTCAGGTGAGTATCAAATTTTCCAAAGTCCTCTTTCTGCATTATGTGTACTAGAAATTTCAACTTTCTCTTTCTGACGTTAATTATAGGTGTTTTTTTGGGGGGTTTTTTTGCTTCCATTTTCTCTAAAAGTGTTGCTCAAGTGTTCAGTTCAAGGTCTCAGTATCCTTCTATAGAATTACATTTCTGTGTCTTCATCTTCGTCCAGCATTCACTGCCATATAGGAGGATTGATATTACAAACCAGTTTAGTACCCTTTACTTGGTTTCTAATGGAATGTTCCTGTTTCTTAATATTTTGCTTAGCTTTTGGAAGGCATATTTCGCTATTCAAATGCACCTTTGGATTTCGATGACACACTATCAGCCCTCTGTTAAAACACTTCCCACATATTTAAATTTTTGTACATACTTGATTTTCATATCTCCAATTTATATGTTGGGTTGTTCCTTTTGCTGACAATCATGCATTCTGTCTTCTTGGATTCATGTTTAGTCCTTTCTTCTCGCTTTCCTTCATTAACTTCTACAAGACTTCATGCAATTTCCTTTCTGTGTCTGCTATGTCCTGCGTATCTTATATTGTTAAAATTGTGGCCGCCATTAAAGAATACTGGTAGGACTTCTAATTATCCCAGAATCGCCTCACTGTGTAGGTTAAATAAGTCCAGTGAGAAAATACCTCTTGTCTTACACCCCTTTCTATTTTTGTATATTTATTGAATTCATTTTCTATCTGTGTGTAAGCGGTTTGCGCCCGGTGTAAGTTCTGGATTATTTGTAAATATGTCAAGGTTACCTAACTGTTCCTTGTGACGTACTTTATCAAACGCTTTTGCATAGTCTATAAAACATAAGTATACATCCTTTTGCATTTGTATTACTCTTTCTGATATCATAAATCATAAATGGGCATAAATATTATATTCCTTGTTCCAGTGTCTTTAACGAAACGGCACTGTTCTTGTCTAATTCTGCTGCGCACTCAGAATTCGGATAAGTTTTGTTATATGGCCTATTAACCTGATTGTCCGATGGATTTCACATTCGTTTACACCTGGCTTCTTCGGTATCGCTATGAAAATGGATCTGCTTCGGTCTTTCGGTATATCATCACATTAGCATATCTAAAAGATAGCGCAATGATATTACTTGCTGTAATTTGCCACGTAGCGCTTGTATTTAATTTTGTAATTATTAAGTAATTACAATGTTTTCTATATGGTCATGTGTCCAATTGGTTAGAAAGTTCGCTTTTTGACCATGAGACCCGGGTTCGAATGTCACCATGGTTAGGAAAGAGATTTCCTGGTGTTATCGGTCTGTAGGTGGAGATACCTAGGACGCTTTTGGAGAGTGACGTACTTTATCAAACGATTTTACGTAGTCTATAAAACATTTTGGCATTTGTATTACACTTTCCGATATCATAAATGGACATACAGCCACAGGTTGACTCAAGTCTTGTAAGTGAAATTGAGTAGACGGTAACCTTGGGGGCTGTACTAGCAGGAAGTCACAAGTCATCGTGACCGAGGGTTTGCATCTGCTGGCCTTGATCAGATCGTTGATCACGCTAGATAACACACTCTTTCTCAGACCCTGTAACCACTGTATAACAACAGGTGGGCTCTGTGGGTGTTGAATAAACACAAATGCGCCTGAGCAAGCTTCTGCAATAGGGATTGACTAGCCGCCCTAGTAGACGGGTATACTCGAATACGAATATGACTAGCTATAGAAATAGAAAATATTTTTTAATTCATCCACGACATTACAGTCAATACACACAGACGTAATATACGCAGGACCATACGTTTGGATTGGACCATTTAATGAATGTATCTACGATAAAATCATAAAATTGTAGAAAAGAAAAAAATCTTTTTAAACCCTAAAAAAGATAAGATTTTATTAAACTTTTCAAAAATTATTCGTTAATAAATAAAATTATTTTCAATTTTTTTTGTTTTTTGAGGAAATTATTTTAAGGTATATTATTGAATTAAAAAATATCCATGCACACAGGCAAACGTACATACGCACAATTTGAATTGAATAATAGGATATAGAAATGTTTATATCAGAACAATGTTAGACAAATTAATGACAAATTAGAAAAAAAAACGCCTTGTTTTGTCCTTTCGAACGTCATCGGACTAAAAAGTGAAAAAAATATATTTTGGTGATAGAATTATGTTTGACGTGGGGAGAGAACATAAAAAAAAACATTTGAAAACAAATGCATAAGGAAACTGGTTGAAAATGGTTAGACTACATACACAGACATCTAAAAAAAAAAAATAAAATTTTAAAGTTTCAAATTTCAATATTTCAGCATTTTCAGCGTTTCCTGTCTGTGAACAATTATAATAAATAAATAAATGAAATTAAAAAGTTTAAATTTGAAAAGTTTCAGTGTTTCCTGTCTGTGCATTAAAATTCAAATTTAAAAGTTCTAATTTTCAAAATGTGAACATTTTCAGCGTTTCCAGCCTGTGCATAATTAAAATTTAATATTTCAACATTTTCAGCGTTTCCTGTTTGTGCATAATTAAAATTTTAAAATATCAACGTTCGTGTTTGGGCATAATTAAAATTTCAACATTTTCTGTGTTTCGTGTCTGGCGCATAAATAAAATTTCAAAATTTCAACATTTTCCTGTTGAACTTTCTTGTCTGTACATAACTTATGCACACTACACAGGACACGCTGAAAATGTTGAAATTTGAAAATTTTAAATTTCATAATTATGCCCAGGCAGGAAGCACTGAAAATGTTGAAACTAAGCTATTTCATTCAGTTTCCTTATGCTTTTTGCCTTTATCACTTTTATTTTAAGTATCCCACATTGTGATGCGGACATTGGAACCTATCATATTTTCTGCGCCAATAGTCACTACTCTACGTGCTCATCCAATTATGATATAGCAAATCAAAATATTATTATCAAATATCTATTTTAAATGAAAATATTACTTATTTATTATGACTTTTCTCCTGTCCACAAGGTAAAATCGAATTAAATTCGTATGACTTTTTTCTAATTTAACAAAGCGTAAATATGAAGAATATGCTAATGGAATGCCGTTAAAGACTTGCAGTAAGAAAAAAACAGCAATAGAGGCATCGTACTTTTTCTTCAATGCATGACAAAACCTCAGCGAACAGAAACCCAGCCGCTTGTGACAAAAATGGACAAAATCCCTGTCACATAAACAAAAAAAATCTCAAATATAAAAAAAACAAAAAAACAATGAAACAAAAACATTGAAAATTCAAGGAACCTTTAATTCAAATTGTAATATCAAACTGAGACATTAAATAATATCCAATAATAAACTTAAAGTGACTTATATGTACTAAGATCGATTTCTGTCACGTACTTCAGTGTACTTCGCTGTTTCCTACATAGAAATTCATAGTAAATCAATCCAACCTCTAAAAACCTTTTCTTAGAATTCTGCGGTCACATATTCCGATTCGATATTTTTCGAATTAGGGAGTTTTGGTATTTTATAAGACTTTAGACTTTATGTAAAGAAATCCTTAAAAAGAAGGGTTTTTGCGCCAAAACGTAAACAAACGACGGAGTTTGTATACCAACTGAATTTGAATATATATGCCGAATTAAAGGTTTAATAATAAATAAAGTTTTTATTCGCAATTTTTATTTAAAATAAATAAAAATCGGGAATTTATTTAAGGAAAGTCTTTAATTCGGCATAATATATATTTGTTATTTTCTTGTATTGTCTCAATTCAATTTGACATTCATTAAAATTTAATTTAAAAGTTCATTGAATTTGAAATGTTAAATTTTGTTTCTTTTTATATACAGTGTAACCTGGATATAAGAGAGTTGTCGGGACCGGAAAAGAAGTCTCTTATATCCGGGTTTCTCTTATATCCGGGTTTGCTCTATTTTATATACATTAACACAGGCTCTAATTTGGGGCCAGAGAAAATCTCTCTTATATCCGGGTTTCTCTTATATCCGGGTCTCTTATATCCGGGTTACACTGAGATTTTAATTAATGAGTCTGAGATTTTGCCTTCTTTTGGAATAAGAAGACTAAGAGGCTTTTTTTTTATCTTTATTTTTTGGTCCAGTAGGATTTTTTGTCCTATATCATTTATTTTTACACACTAACTTTAATAATCAGGTTGTGGTGATTTCGTTAATTACCAAGGTTTACTACTGTGTTAGGATTAGGAGCTAAGTTTAGGTTAAGTTTAGGGTTTTCGTGATGATTTTACTAAATTTAACGTAAAAGATCGAGCATTTGGTGATTTCCAACGAGAAAAAAAAATCCAAATTATTTTTTTCATCTCTTTTTACTTTAGGTTTTTTTGTATTTTTAAAAATATGGACGTTAACTTTTAGCGATGACTAACGAAAACGATAAAAAGAAAAATGAAAAAAAAGCAATTTGCACTAATTTGAAATTAAATTTTCCTTCTCTTGAGTGAAAGAGCGTCCAACCGAACTTGAAAGGAAATTTCAGACCTCACAGAACCCTGTCTGCTACGCTAACAATCAAGCAGTTGGCACTTAAAGTGTTTCAACTCTTTAAGTGCCAACTGCTTATTTTAATGTCAACAGACTAAATCGGTCGCATATCTGCCAATGCAAGTGACCCAACAGCCGCTCGTTTCAGCTGGCAGTTAGAAAAATGTCTTTCATTTTTCAACTGTAACAGTGTTACAAGTCCGCCTCCTTCAAACAGTGAGTCATTCTCATTTAAAGGGGTAGGATCCAGGATGACTGCCCTCCCCTATGTTAGCTTTGACGATTACCTAACCCACCCCAAAACACTTTTGTTTACACTAAAGAGTACCAAGGTTTTTACTTGTTACTTTTTCCTTATTCCAGTAGAAAAAAAAAAGAAGCAAAGAACGTTCAATTGTCCTTTAGTCTCTTCTCATACAGCGTGAAGACTTTTTTTTTTTTTTTGGAGATTGTAGATTTTACAAGAATGCGAATATATATATTATATCCGTGGATAAAGATGTCATTTTTTATGTTATTATTTAAAAATATGTTGCTTAAATCTATCTCAGTCTGTTTTTTTTTCAAATCGTTATTTATCAAATTTTATAGTATAGTTAATAATACAAATATGGCACATCCAATGGAGCGCAAAGCCCTTACACAAGCATAGTGCGATAAAAGCTGACTACTTCATGATGGGGTAACCCGACACTTGGATATTTCATTCTATCCGTATCTAGCAAATGAATTAGTCCAATTAGTTTATCATCCTCTCTTTGTCTTCCTTTATAATCTATCTATCTATCTATCTATCTATCTATCTATCTATCTATCTATCTATCTATATGAAGCTTATCTTAAATCGACAACTGGCCTATATACGTCCGATAAGACGATTGTATTGTACCGGCTGTAATGAAAATTGCCATTCAAAATCCCGACTTTTAGCTGGGTTCTAACATCACCCACCGGTGAAAAATAAAAATCCTTACCTGTAACAGGCTTTATGTTTTTTACTTGGTTTGAAAAGGTTTTGTCAAGCGTTATATTTTCACATTATCTATATTAACAATAAAATTCATTTGGTTTTTACTTTTTTTTCAGTATTTGCTTTTACGAATATAACATTTCATAAAGAAGAATATTAAATTAACTTTAAATGAAAAACTTTAAATGAACTTCCAAAGATCAATATTTTTTAGCGAATTTCGCACAAAAATGTGTTAAGAGCGAACATGTCCCTCAGCGTCTATGCTAATGTCAAAGTTATCTTTGCAACGGTTTACGGACACTTCACTTGTACAGGATACCCCAAATAGGATTCGATATAGGTGATATTCATAAGGACCATTTGAACCACGGCGTTCTTTACTAAAGTCCATGTCATAGTGCAACTCGCGCTCAGAACTGGAGGCCTATCTCAAATCTCGTCCTTCCACTTGGAGCGAAAATTTTTATTTTCGGTTTGAGTTTGCTACTCAAGGCTGCTGTAGTTGGTTGATGTAATTTTTGTTTGACATTTGAAATAACTTTAGTTCATTTTATTGCATTTAATTACAAGGTTTATCTATTTTATTTCCTTCGGGTTTGCTGTATTTTATATTTTCATTGCAGAAACAAACTTTTTGTGCGTAATTCGCTTAAAAATATTGATCTTGTTATTTGGAAGTTCTTTTAACGGTTTTCACTTAAAGTTAATTTAGTATCTTTCTTTATGAAATGTTTATTCAAAAAAGCAAATACACTAATTATCAACTTTACTTACTTTTGCGTAATTTGTATTTTTACTTCTAACAAACGAAAAAATATGTTGAATTCTTAGCAAACTGCTTATATCGAAATGCAATTTTAAATTTACTTGACGTAAACAAATAAAATGATAATGCTATTTTTTCTAGTATTTCTTATTGCAAATGTTACAAATTCTTTCTCAAGAAAGTTAATTATTAATAGTATTTTGTTATGTTTAATTTCTCAGAGATTTTTCTTCCGAAGACATTTTTTTCGATTCTGTTTTTATACATTAGAATTTATTTAAAAATGCTACTTCTTGTTACATGAAGTTAATTCAGTATTTTTTGCTGTGATATCGTTTTTCATAACAACAAATATATTCATGGTAAAATTTAATTTTTTATGAGTAATTTTTATTTTCTTTCTAAAAGATATTTTAAAAAAACGTATTTTAGTTTACCGTTAAAAAACATAAAATAGGAACAAACGTAACATTTTATGCTACAAAATTAATGAAACATCATTTAAGAAAGTTGTTATGTAAAGTTATTGTCACAATTAAATTCGGTAAGTTTAACTCATATTTTTAGATATTGTGTTGCGGGTGGTATATTGACCCGCAAAAAGATATTGAATGACGAAAGACGACAGCAAACAAAACGAAGACATGAGTAAAATAAATATATTGCCAAGTTTATTGACATTAAAAAAAAAAGATTGATACAATAAAAGTTTTGTAGTCTGGTGAAGAACGTTATTCTGAAAATGACAGTTTTGTAGTCGGGTGAAAAGCGCTATCGTGAACAGGACAGTTTTGTAGTCCGGTGAAAAACGCTATCGTGAACAGGACAGTTTCGTAGTCCAGTGAAAAGCGCTATAGTGAACAGGACAGTTTCGTAGTCCGGTGAAAGGCGCTATCGTGAACAGGACAGTTTTGTAGTCCGGTGAAAAACGCTATCGTGAACAGGACAGTTTTGTAATCCGGTGAAAAGCGCTATCGTGAACAGGACAGTTTCGTAGTCCGGTGAAAAGCGCTATAGTGAACAGGACAGTTTCGTAGTCCGGTGAAAAGCGCTATCGTGAACAGGACAGTTTTGTAGTCCGGTGAAAGGCGCTATCGTGAACAGGACAGTTTCGTAGTCCGGTGAAAGGCGCTATCGTGAACAGGACAGTTTTGTAGTCCGGTGAAAAACGCTATCGTGAACAGGACAGTTTTGTAATCCGGTGAAAAGCGCTATCGTGAACAGGACAGTTTTGTAGTCCGGTGAAAGGCGCTATCGTGAACAGGACAGTTTTGTAGTGCGGTGAAGAACACTGCGCCAAAAAGGACAGTTTTGTAGTGCGGTGATAAGCAGTTTATCGCACATTGATGCTGCTGGTGATGGCCGGCTGAAGCTATTGTTGCCGCAGGGTGGTTATGGCCGGAACAGATACTACACTTTGATAACATGTATATTGGCGGTGGTCGGCATTTTTGCTTGTTTTCGAGGCCTTTTTTATGCTGAATCAGCAGCACAACCATATCCGGTCATTTTAGGTGAAGTTTCTTCTTCCGGTTTTTTTTTTTATGTGGGAGGGCCGAAAGAATACGAAAATTGTAAACGAGGTGTACGAAACGTTAAGGCCAACCTTGCTTCTAAATCACGCAGTTTTTAAGAGTAAATTATTTCTACTTTTATTTTTCTACTTCGATATAATTATATAAAGGTATATTTATGATAAAATAATTCAGCAAACAACAGTTACTTTATTTTTAAACAACAAAATAAATAAAATACAAAGTTGCTTTCATGTTTATTTTTTTTCATCTCATTTCTTCCAGAATTCATAGTTCCGATAGCTTTTCGTTTTATTAAAACTGTTTTAACGTGGATAATTGATTCAAAGATTAAAATGGATATAACATTTCGTACACACTTATTAAGAGTGATAGATCCGAATTTTTGTCAAATTATATATTAATTGTAATAAGATTTTAGTACAGAAAAAATATACTGTAGTAGGATTAGGTAGTAATAACACCATACCAAAATATACACTTTCCTCTTTTCTAAGTGAGTGACAAAGAAAACTTTCTCTCCCTCTCTTCTATATATTTCCTTTCCTTTCCTTCCTTCTATTGTTCCTATTCTCGGAAACGGACAGGAAACCTTAGTTTATGTGGGTCAGTGTACGTCATAAAAAAATCAACCAATGACAACACGTCCCGCCAAAGATCAAACCGGAAACACGAATGTATCAGTCCCAATAAAAAGAAGAAAACCACGTACGAGACGAGAGATGCGGCAGTGAAGAGGAACTTGATTCAAGGTAGTAGTTCGAGACGCAAGGGTTGGTGATTCATCGGCTGTGTGTTTGACCTGACGTACAACTCCAGGAGAGAAAGAAGAAGAAAGAATGAATGCAACGAATTCATTTCCGTCAATCATAAGGAACAAAACAACTTTGTATGAACTCTCAAGTCACGAAAAAGAACTATGACGATAGTCAACCATTTTAAACACTGTAATCAAACGAATCAAACAATAAATGATACTACAGACAGTAAATTTGGTCTTTACTTCATCTCTATATAGCATAATACCAAGACAAAGAGGATTAACTTTCCGAGCCAAATTGTGCTCTTAATCTCAACATTTTCTTTGAATTTTTTAAAAGCCGATTATAATAGTGAATTGCCACAAACCTAAACCGAAATTAAAAATCTTCGCTCCCTGTGGAACAACGAAATTTGAGATAGGCTCCCAGTTCTGTCCGTGAGTTCTGCATTGAGAGGAGCCACTTTTCTTCAAATGGATAATATTAAGTTCATTGCTCTCTTCTTAAAAAAAATCTACCCCCCTCTTGAGCTCACCATCTGCAGAACCACCTACTTTGGTTTCACTTATCTGACTTAATCAGTCAAACCTTTAGTATTCAAAATACTTATGAAACAAGAATTACTTGGGAAAATATATTTCAAAGAAGAAATAAAACATCATCATCACCAGCACCACCACAAAATGTTTTATATACCGTATATACAGAGCTAATGGTACAATATCAGTTCTTCAGGTAGAAATATATATTCTTTATGCAGGAATATATTTGTTATACAAAGTTATTCGACCCTTCCCTTCTTCGAATATTTACTAAAATGACTTTTGTTAATATCACCACATTTACATGAAAAAATATATTTTGGTCCTTAAAGTGGAAGAATATATTTTAGTAAAGTCTAGACAAGGCTTCTGGAACACAGCGTGAGTTCGGTGAAGCGGTCGTCTTTCGTCTGGTGGCTGGCGGCTTCTCTCTTTGGTTGTCGCTTCGATCTTCTGTTTATATATGGTCCTTCGTTCAAAACTGGCATGAGGTCTGTTGTGGTTCGGGATTTTGGTGATTCTCCTAATTACCACAATGAGTACTTTGTTTGTTTGACTTTGGGAAATCGCATGCACAACTTTGGAGAGATACTTTAACTATGTCTTATGTTTTATCTCGACTGACCAAGGAAGAAAAAAAAACCCTCTGAATTTTCTAAAATCTGGTTTCGACTCTCAGTATGTTTATCGATCTATCTTATAACCCTTAAAGTATCACATTTAGATGTAGCCGTAACTTCTATGCCGACAGTTTCTTTTCTCGCACTTTTCGTTTGTGGATCTCTCTTCCGGCTCCATGCATTCCAGCCAACTTTAATCTGTAAAAATTTAAATGCAATGTTAATCGCTATCTACTTTTTGCCTGACTCCTCTTTTCGCTTTCTACTCATTACTAATGTTTCTGTTCCTAATTCCTCCACACCCTGTAATCGCTTGCGTGTTAATGGCTGTACTGGCTTGCTTTGGGTGATACGGATTAATATATATATATATATATATATATATATATATATATATATATATATATATATATATATATATATATATATATATGAAAATATATAGAAAATATGAAGGAACTGGTTAGGTAAATAATCCAAAGTCCCTTAGTGTTTTAGTTTTAGTTATTATTTTTTAAAAATAGTGCTCGATACAAAAGTAGAGCATAAATATAATTATTTATTTAAAAAATATGATTCCATATCGCGACATAAGAAGTCCCATGTTTCAAAAACAAGAGCCGAAAACTTCAATATAATTATTTAAATTAAATTGAGTTAAAATAAGCTCTGTTCCATCTTCAAGCGAAATTTTTTGAATA